ATAATTTTATCATGACATACCTAATTTAGAAATGAACTTGCTACTTTCTTAAAATAAATACCTGAATTAATGGGAGAAATGTTGTCATGTAGATTATAGAATGAACAAAATCTGATAAAAACAATGATACTTATATAAAAGTAAAACCAGAGAAAGTTAGTTTTTTTTTAAGTAGTCTCATGTTGTTCAAAGCACACTAAGGTTATAGGTTCAGCTCCTAGATTAAGACTTCAAAAAGACTACAAAATAAGAAAGTTTGACCTATTTAGATTGACTGTTAAAAGCAGTAAACAGATGACATTAAAAGGAACAATCTGTGGTCCCAATATAAAACCAAAAAGCCTAAATTAAGAGTAAATATGAGATAATGTCTGTCCAGGGAGTTCACCTTTGTGCTTTGTTTACATTCCTCCTGATGCAAATTGAATAAATGCACAACAGGAATGCACTACTATTGTTTTAGTTATTTCTGGTTTAGCATAAATAGACTACAACTGCATGTCTCTGTGTTGAAGAATGACAATAAAAGATTGTTCAAATCATTAATTAGTTAAATCAGTTTCTCTAGTGAAGATTTAAGGTACTTTTTCTTGAGTATTACCATTCTTTATACTTAACTGGCTTCCAAAATGTAGTACAATGTTGAGATACTTGTACTTTACTTGAGTATTTTTGCTACTTTGTACTTCTACTCCACTACAATTCAGAGGTAAATAGTGTACTTTTACTCCACTACAGTTATTTAATTCCTTTAGTTACTTTACAGATGTGGATGAATGATGTGAAATATAAATCAACCCTTAAATCAGACTTTAGTTCCACCTGGAGTAAATTCACAAGCTACCCTGCAGTATACAAAGTCATTACAACTAGCTGCACCTTTACCAGCTTTGAGAACACTTAAATGATCAATCATTATAAAAACATATCATATATATTATTCTGAAATGGACCAATCTGCACAATGACTACTTTAGTACTTTAAGTATATTTTGATGCCAATACTTTTCTACTTTTACTTGAGTAACATTTGAATGCAGGACTTTTACTGTAACAGAGTATTCCTACACCTTGTACTTCTACTTTTACTTAAGTACAAGATCTGAGTACTTCTCCCACCTTTAGTACTTAGTTACTTTCTACCACTGAACAAAACATGCCTTCATCTCAACAACTAAAAACGTTACAAAACTAGCCTTGAAACGAAAAGTAGCCAAGCTAGCTTAAATAAAGTTGACTAAAAGATAAAAGTAAGGTCTAAAAACAATGTTTAAGTAGGAAAGAGTGTGACTTATATTCATAAACTGGTTAGAAGTTAAATGTTTTGAGTGTATGCTAACTTGGTAGCACACGTTGAAGCTTTACTATAATTACAGGCGAGCTATGTAAACTATGCAGCAAAGTCAGCTAATGTTGCTAACAACTCAGTAAATACTCTCCTCCCCCAAGACTAACTGAAGTAAACTTGACCGTAAAATAAATAATGTTAAATTTGATTGTTGGTTTTAACAGTGATTTTAAAATCTCTAGTGAGAAAAACTTTTTTTTCCACGAATGCAGCCAAAAGGCTCCGTCTATGCACTGGCGCCAACACACTTACATTAAAAAATCTGTTCGCCGTTTGTTTTCGGTAACTTATTTTTGACCACTTTAATGTAAACTCGTTTGTTAAAAGTATTCACACATACAATTTAAATTATATCCATAAAGTAATGTATAAAAGTTAAGTTGTTTTAAACTCGACAAAATCGTAAACACGAAGCACTGACAACCAACAGTTTGTGTTTGCTCCAGGAGGTAGTCCGAGCCCAAAAATCGGGACCTTTTTTTTTTTTTGCTGCAAGAGAAGTTTTGCCTTACCTTTTCTCCTCCTTTTCTTTAATTTCCCGTGTGATTAAGGCGCTCCTTTCGACGCTATTTCATCGTAGTAACTCGAGTCCAAATCCCCATCAGAATAAGAGGAGAGATAAGCATTATTTCCCAGGGTTTTTAGTGTAAATGTTCACGGTTGTACTCTCCTCTGCTGCCTGCTCCGGTCGCTCTGCGGTCTGTTTGATGATGGAGCTCGGAGAAAACCAGCCGGACAAAGATCGTCTCTTACTGGAAGCGAGGTATCACTCCGCGGTTTAAAAAAAAAAGGGCCAAACTTCCGGTCTTTTACAGTAGGTGTTGACCGACTACGCATGCGCATGCTTTTCACCTTTCAGGTATGTTACAAGTTGACATTTTCAGTGAATTTGTTGATTTTTGCATCAGTTTAACATGCTGTCGTCTGATTAAATCGTCAAGACTTTGAAGCTGTGTGTTTTCTTTATCTTACACACTCTTTTTTTGTTTTTTTTTATATAATAAAATTCAGCAAATAACTATATTTGTATGATCATTTATGCCTGTCATTTTGTTATTGGAATAACCTTTGCATAAATTAGTGAATGTGGACTGTATATGGTGCAATAAAAACATTGCAAAAAGGTTTTACTTTGCCCCTCTTACACTTCAGTTTGACCATTGCACATTTGTAATATTTACATAGCATTTACTGATTTTTAGTGGCATATTTAATCTGGGAAATGATTTTTTGGAAAAATTTGGAGTAACTGCAATATAGAATTAAAAACAATAACGTTTTATTTTTCAGTGGCAATATTTGGAGGACATTTTCTTTCGTTTGCAAGTAAGGAGTGATTGCATGCTACCTTTTACGATGACAGGCTTAACACTATATATGATAGTGTTTATAATTTTCTTAAACAACCAAGAAAATAGTTAATTATACCTCCATGTAGTCATATTATTTTCTCTATATTAACCCATAATAACCCGGACCCATTTCTACTTTTGGGGAAATTAAGGGGAACATCATTTAGACTAAATAGACCACCTAGAACACATTTCTGACAAGTAACCCCCCCTTGTGTCAAATATCTAAAATGTGACATATATGTCCCATTGATGGGCTTTAATGGTAAAGTAACTCTTATTTATAACTTCATTAATGAGGATGATTTTTGGTTTAAATTAGTTTGAACATTCTTTGAATTGAAGAATAAAGAATATATTAACTCAATATAATGAATCAGCTAAATTAACTGAGCAGATCATAATCATATTTATAATTGTGCATATATGTCACTTTGGGTTTACTGTGAACGTTTAGGGTTAAAGTCCCGATCAGTGTCACAGCGATGCTTGTCTCAATTGTTTCATATCAATTTGATCAAGAAATGTTTCCACAACAGGTTAAATTTAATAAAGGACGTGTTATGAAAGCATTTTAATTCTTAACCCTCCTATTGTCTTCGTTTCCCCCCCCCCCCCCCCCCCCCCTTACTTTGGTGTTCACGGTCAAATTTGACCGGTCCTGTTTTAACTGCTATTACATTAACACAAAAACCATTAATCATCACCACATTTCATTTAACACCCTTTCAAACTGTAAATATGTATCAGACTACTGGTATACATGAAAAACTGCAGTAAATATACAAAGAATAGACACTGAACATGTATTGCATGTGCCAGGTGTGATCCATGTGGGGGGATGGGCACATAAGAGCGGGAAATGTGTCAAATTGTTGTGTGCGTGTGTTTGTGTGTTTGTGAGTGCCAGGTGCGATTCACATGGGGGGATATATATCCTTTATTTAACCAGGTAAACAAGACTCATTGAGATAAAAATCTCTTTTCCAAGAGTGACCTGGCCAAGAAGGGGGGGGACACACATCTAGAGTATGTGTGTGTGTGTGTGTGTGTGTGTGTGTGTGTGTGTGTGTGTGTGTGTGTGTGTGTGTGTGGTGTGTATGTGTGTGTGTGTGCGTGTGTGTGTGTGTGTGTTTGTGTGTGTTTTATCTGATCCGGATGGTTACTAATTCCTTGTTACAAAGTTGACTAAATCATCCAAAATTCAATGGAAGTGGTGATTAGCAATTTTATATGTTCAAATGTCTACTGTGAAGGATATCATAAAGCCTTAATGCAATCGAATGTAAAACAAAAAAGTGATGATTGATGAAAGTAGTAAATCGGTCAGATTTGACCCGAAGACAACAGGAGGGTATGGCTTGAATTTTACCTTTAGCAACCAAAAAAAAATCTTTTCAAATGTAGCTAGTTCGGTCACATCATGTGTTAGTCTGGCACATGGACATCTTGGACATGTTGTCATGGGAACACAAAATCACATGACCTGGACCCACCAGACTGTTCAGTGTGTGTCACTTAGGGACTAAAGCTGTATAAGGAACTTTCCAGAACATTTAAAGTTCATGTGACACCCTCATGTACACTTCTTTTTAGTTAAATATTGATTCAATATGTGGTTGGAGGTATTTAATAAACAGTGGATTTTTACTTTTCCTCTCTTTTAACAATGTCTTTGTTCAGTCTTTAAACAGTCGTGTCGTGTAGTTGTGTTTCGTATAAATAGTCTTACACAATCAAGATTTATATTTATTAATATTTGATTGACTACCACCACTGACACAGAGACAGAGTGAGAGCTCTTCCGTTTTTCGTCCTCTATGCTTCCAGTCTCTGCTTCTCTCTGCAGAGTTAAGGAGCCCTCTGGTGTTGATCATAATCTACTGCGTGTGTTCAGAATCAGACAATTACAGTTTCAGCAAGTTAAGAGCCAACGATAGCTTAATATTAATCAAGAAGCATGCATAACAAATATTAAAGATAACAGTAGGAATTACACAATTTACCATTGATAAAAAACACATCAATTTTAAACATTTCATATCTTTTTTTTAAAACTACTCCACAATATTTGTTTTGCACTTTGTATCTTTGTTTTGTAGTTTATAAAGACTCTATTTTTACTTTTGGTGCTGGTGGATAGAGTTTTCGATTCTTGTTTTGTTTTCTGTGACTATCTGCCTCCACCCATGGATGTATCATAAGACCGCCTCAACCTCTCAGACTTTCAGTTGCGCACGCTACTAAGGTGACGCGCTACCAAGGTGACGCGCTACCAAGGTGACGCGCTACCAAGGAGACACGCTACCATGGAAACCAAACAATGGTGTAGCTTTATTAAAGTCCGAGTGGAAACAGTCGTGAGTAAATCTGATTTTGTCAGAAATCGGGAGAAATATGACCCCAGGAGGAAACCGGGAGAGGGTAATGAAATTGGGAGTCTCCCGCGAAAATCGGGAGGGTTGGCAAGTGTTACCTTGGTTGCTGATTGGCTTATGGTTACACAAGCCAAAAAAGCGTTATGACATCATAAGTGACCAAAATCTAATCAGCTCATTTTCAGACAGGTTTTTATATAAATGGATCAGGACAAAAAGAGAGAGAATCTTTGTTCCTGAAACTTTCAGAATCTCTTTACACAGAGGGGACACATGTTGATGTAGAAGAGACATGAAGAAGTGGATTTAGCATAATAGGTCCCCTTTAAAAGAAACAATCCACTGTGAGTTATAATTTGGTAGATTAGAAGCGCATATTTACTATAATTCAAGGGAAAATACTTTAAATTTTCTTTCTCATGTTCTGACTTTTTCCTCAAAAATGTAAAACGAATTCTCAATGTTTTAAAAAAAGCTTGTTTTCTTAAAACCCATCTGGTAAGTTTTAGACACTTTTCTCAGAGATTTCAACAAAATCTGTTAAAAGGGACAAATCTAACTATTTTTTTGATTTACTTTGACATTTTGGGTCATAGGGAGGCTATATTTTGAGAAAAACTTGAGGAATTGTACTTCAAATTTGTGTGGAGATATTTATTTTTTACAGAAATGTTCACCATATTTATTCATATATACCTGTATTTATTATACATGTATTTCTTTATATTTAAAGTGGACCTATCATGCTATATTTAAATGATATATTGTAGGGCCATACCTATATAAGGTATATTTTACGTTTCTGTTTTCAAAATAACAAACAGTTCATGCATTTTAGCCATGCCTCATTTCGCTCTATGTGCTGTTTGCTGTCTACCGGGCTGATTATGTGAGCTGCAGCTGACCACGCCCCCCTGCAGGAGAGGGGAGCCGTGCTCTGATCAAGTCAAGAGGGGGAGAAAAAAAGATCTTTGTCCTCCGTGTTTTTTATATTGTTATAGGCCTATAGAGTCGTTATTCATTTGTTTTAAAGCTCAATAAATAACAAAGAAGACCTTTGACCGGCACTTTTCTAATTTTGTCCGGAAGATTTAAACTTTAACGGACATCTTGACCGGCGAAAGAAACTGAAACTGAAACTCTGCCGCACGGTCCCCTCGTTCCTTGGAAGAGGCGGAGAGGTGGGTGTTTGTCATCTGCTGGTGGACTAACCGGAGAGAATTACAGTGCTTGCCTCGACGGGGAGGGATTGCATTGAATTAAAGCAGCGGGAGCAAACGCTTGCCTCGGGGAGGGAGAAAAAAAGCCACAGCGGAGAATAAACAGAAGGGTAACCATGGTAACCATGGGCGGGAAGTCTTCTTCGCTGCTTTTGTGGCAGACTACTGCCACTTACAGGCCTGGCATATGTACTACACGCGTCTCCAGCGCTTTCGAGCGGCAATGGCCGGCCGTGGCCCAACCCCACATTCCCCTGATAGGTGGAGAGTTGGCCCAATAGCCGTAGCGCCACTTCTGTGACGTCATTGAAGTGTTCAAATCTGGATCAGTTTTTATCAGATCCGTTGCAGCCCCTTTTTTAGAGATTTGGGTATGGAGGAAAAGAGAGAGGGTTGTGTTTTCTGACACTTGGTGAGTTCCCTGGAACACCGGGGACACATATTCATGTATAAAAGACGTACAAAGTGCATTTTGCATGATAGGTCCCCTTTAACCCTTATGTTGTGTTCGGGTCTCCTGTGACCCGTTTCAAGTTAAAATTATATAATAACTACGCTCTTGTTTTTTAAAATCGGAACAAGGCTTCATGATATCCTCCACAACAGATATAAACACTGCAAAACTGATTATGACCATTTTTGCCAAGTCTGAAGGTCTCTAAAAATAAGTAATTTGGTGTTGGGGTCTGAGGAGACCCAGCAGCATTGCTGTGGGGACTCTGGCAAATTTGGCCCAATCAAGATTGATCTTTGACTTTAGACACCCCTCCCCCTTTCTCAACTGTAACAATAATTTTTCGCAACATGCACCTGGTCTCCCCTCCCCCCACGGGAACTCGACGTTTCTCAAAGAATATGTACACTATGACTTGAACCTGAACACACACATGCATGTGTGCCATATGTGGTGTAATGTGTTTTGGGGCCATAAAATACAATTACTACAGGATTGTACGGTTTTGAATTATAAATTAGTATGCAATATTGGATGATAGATTTTGGACTGAGATAAACCCGCGAACACCATGAACGGTAACAGCTTTCGAACACAACACAAGGGTTAAGTCTTTTTGTGTCCTCCATACATAATCAAACAGAAAATCCTGTTAAATGAACTCAAAGACGATGCAGAACAAAGTCAAATCAGATATAGAAGACATAAACGTATATTTTCAGGTGGTTGAAGTGCTCCTTTTATTCAACTTGCAACACAAATAATCCTCAAATATTCAAAACCTGTTACACAAATGTAGTACAGCAGCTTAAGCGGTCACTTCAGCGTCTTTCTTTCCTTTAACATGTTAATATAATATGAATAATAGTTCACGAAACAGCTTCATTGACTCCAAAACCAGTTCAAACACTCCCAGTACATTTTAAAAAGTGACACCAACACAAACTAATACTGACGTCGCCTCTTTCCTCATGCTGACAGACGTCCTGCATGCACACATTCACCCTCTGAAAAAGCACTCAAACTGTATAAAATGTTCAAAGTAAAAACTGTACACCAGCACAAGTGTGTGTGTGTGTGTGTGTGCCGGTCAGACAGACTGAATCACAAAAGGCACAGGGAGGCTGAATATTTTACTTGTCCCCGTAGTAACAGTAATATTAATCAATCTTAAAAACACAGATTTCTTAAAACCAAAAACTCCTTCTGCATTAAATCACGTTTTCAGTGTTTCTGAGGCTTCGTTCACGCTGTAAAAAACACCAGCTTTAAAATCACAGGGTGTGTTTACACTGTAGAATTTAATTGATTTAATTACCTTGAGAAAATTCCCTTAAAGGTGGGGTAGGTAATTCACTTCAGAAACACTTTTTGTTATATTCCATGGAATGCTCTTAACATCCCGATAGCAATGAATATATAAATGCTTTGACAATAAATACATTAAACATTTCATCTGTGGAAGCCGTGGCGCTGTAAAAAGCACGACCAATCATCTAAGCCGGCCCGGCTAAAATAACTGGATGGCCTACCTGCCTGTCAGCCTTCCATCTGTGCACAAACTTATCTCGTGCCCTCATTGTGCGCGTTCGTGTGTGTTGGAGGAGGGGCTCTGTAAGGAAGTCTGAAGGAAGGGGCAGATTTTTTTCGGTTGAGTACTTTCAAATTCTAGCGAGCTCGAGCTGGTTTCTCCATTCTTACCCACCCTACCTTTAATTGAGGATTAGCTTGCTACACTAGTAAGGTCTTCTTTCTCCATATATTAATATTTATTCAAATCTCTTTATAAAGCACTTCGGTCAATGTTTGTTGTTTTCAAATGTTTTGAGATAAAGTTGGCTTGACTTATTATGCAGTTTGTTGAGCTGAATTTAATTGAATGGGAAAATAATCACATATAAAACGTTTTGCATATTTGGGTGCTTATTGCATCTCTTAGTTCATTTGTGTGGACTTTTGAGGATGCAATAAAACAACCAAAATAAACAAAAATAAAAGTTGTAAAGGCCTACAGTGTGAACAAAGCTTGTAGTGAAAACCGCCGTCGTAATAAACATTCAAGCTCTTACAGTCCAGGAAAACAAACATAACACAATCATTACAGAAAGAAATGCATCATCTCTTTGTGCCAAACATCCACAAAAACAGATCAATCTGATGAGCACTGAACGCAGCAGTGATGACACAGTAGCTCTTTAATAAATATCACACCATGAGAACTGTTAGTTAAAGGGGACCTATCATGCAAAATCCACTTCTTCATGTCTTCTCTACATCAACATGTGTCCCCTCTGTGGAAAGAGATTCTGAAAGTCTGTCTGAAAATGAGCTGATCAGATTTTGGCCACTTTATGATGTCATAACGATTTTTTGGCTTGTGTAACCATTAGCCAATCACCAACCAAGGTAACCCCCCCCCCCCCCCCCCCCCCCCCCCCCTTATCACCTGAATCTCCTCCTAGAGCACCATTGTGTTCTTTTTAACCAAATCTCTCTCAGAGGGGCGTGGGGAGGGGCTCCTTATTTTCATCTAAAGTAACAGACAGAGAATCAGCACTTTTGAAACAGGGCTGAAACAGAGGGGATTATGGGTATGCTGCAATGATCTGTTTGGTGTTTCAGCCAATCAGAGACAGGTTCTGTATATATCTGAGACCTGTGATATATTGATGAAAAACAGTATAATAGGGGACCTTTAATATTAAAATAACAGTGTTTTTGTTGCATAGTAGCACCTACTGTACGTGAAGGGTAAGAAACATCCCATAGAGGTGACTTTAGAGTTACATACTCAGAGAACAGGGGTCGTTTTGCATCAGTTCAGCATTTTTTTGTATCTTCTGTGTTCGTTATGCAAGAATTTATGTTGCCGTTTTCATTTTTTTCCGATTTGTGTCTTTACCTCATTGTTTTCTCTTTGTAGTTGTTTTGCATGTGTTTAAGGACATTTTGGTTTCTCTACAGTCTGTGGTTTCTATTTTTACATTCCAGTGCTGAACCAAACATTCATAAATACTTTTGTTAGTTGAGTTAGGCAACTGCTTGGGGCCCCAGACCAGAAGGGGGCCCCCAAAGAAGGTAGATTAAGAAGGTCCACAGCAACGACAACATAAAACACCCTTTAATTTACTGCAACGACATGTCGGGAAACCCCATCAAGGCGGCCCCAAGCATAGTGCGCCGTAAAATGCTGCTTCTCATCTTAAGTTTTGTTGCCTTGCTTCGAGGGGCCCCCAGTGAATGTTTGCCTATAGGGCCCCCACCGACTCTAGGATCGCCACTGGGTGAAATTAAAGCTTTAAATAAAACAAATATGTAAATTCATTTGAATCCTTATAATTATCAAAATTATAATGATTATTCTTTTCAGTATTAAATGTAATATCGTATAATTTCTTGCTTTTATCAGCTTAGTTACCTGTATATATTTTACATTCATCAATTAATTAACTAATACAAATATTTATCATAATTGTTTTTGGCACACACCAGACTCCATATGAGAACTTCTTCACATTGAACACACAAGTAGTTTCTGGTAGAAAACAGTAAATAAATCACTACAGTACATAATAACGTGGGCTGGACATCATGACCTGTTTTTTGTTTCTGTTTTGAATCCTCAGGCAGCGTAGTTTTAAAATAAATGCACAAAAACAAAGTGTATTTTGCATGAAGAGCGTTTACACACACATTAGTAAAGTCGTCAGCGTGCGGCCGGTCGCCTCCGGCTGGTGGTCTACACGTTGATGGCGTGAGCGTGCTTCTTGCACAGAGGTTTGTCTTTCTTTGAGTAGAAAGGCTGGCCCTCCAGGTTGACGTTGCAAACCTGCAGGAAACACAAACAAATATATAAAATATAAAAAAGAAACATAGCTTGAGTGATTGCAGAATAACTCAACATTCAACAGTTAGAATTACAGCAATGTTGTGTAAATTAAATAGTTTTATTTACATAAAACCTGATTTGTTTTTGCTGCTTTTGTGAAGCATTTGAATAGCCTTGTTGTTGCTGAAATGTTCTTTATAAATACACTTGCTTTACCTTTGCTAAAATATGTGTATTCACGTGATTATTTTATATATTAAAGGTAGGGTAGGTAAGAATGGAGTAACCAGCTTGAGTGCGCTAGAATTTGAAAGTACGCAGCCGAAAGAAATCTGCCCCTTCCTTCAGACTTCCTTACAGAGCCCCTCCTCCAACACACACGAACGTGCACATGACCAATGAGGGCACGAGATAAGTTTGTGCACAGATGGAAGGCTGACAGGCAGGTAGGCCATCCAGTTATTTTAGCCGGGCCGGCTCAGATGATTGGTCGTGCTTTTTACAGCGCCACGGCTTCCACAGATGACACTTTTTAAATGTATTTATTGTCAAAGCATTTAATATATTCATTGCTATCGGGATGTTAAGAGCATTCCATGGAATATAACAAAAAGTGTTTCTGAAGTGAATTACATACCCCACCTTTAATTATAATACAAATAAAACGTTAATCAGAATCTGATTCAGAATTTAAAAAAGTTAAACAAAATAGATCAAATATATACATTTGAATACAAGAATTTACAATAGAAATGTAAAAAAAAAACATAAAATGAAAGGAAAACAAAGTTAACGTAAAAATGATGATCAAACAATAATTATGCAGTATTATGAGTAACTCTGGGGAGAGTTTTTGTCTTCTTACCGCACACACGAAGCAGGTGTCGTGCCAGGTGTGACCCAGAGCCTCGATGAATTTATCTCCGGCTTCGACCGGGAAGTCACAGCCGTGACACTTTGTGCTGAAGAGAGATATATAATCTGTAGAAGAGACACAGAGGGACAATTAAATATGAATACAATGTGCGCCCTTATATAGGGGAAAATGTGTTGTCTGGGGATGCAAAATGGATGAAAGAGAAGGATGAAAAGAATATAAAAAGGTTAGAAAAGTGTCAAAATAACTATAATTTCACGGGAATACTAGGGGTATAGAAATGTGAGAGTTAATTTAGGGATATTGCCAAATATCTGGAACAAACTGCAAGAAACCTGCAACTCTGACTACTTTTAAATCCAGGCTGAAGACTTTTCTTTTTGCCGCTGCTTTTAATTGAACTATTCACATCTCACACTGCACTGTAACTTTTATTCATGTACCTTTGTTATTCATGTTATTATCTTTGCTTTTTAATGTTTCTAATGTGTTTTATGCTCTTAATGTCTTTCATTTTTGTAAAGCACTTTGAATTGCCTTGTGTTGAAAAGTGCTATATAAATAAACTTGCCTTGCCTTATATTTCAATAAGGGTTCAGATTCAAGGCTTCACTATGTGTTCTATTATAATAATTGAAGTGTTGACGTACCTTTCTCGCAGTACGGCTCCCCGTCCTCCATGTGGAAGAGGCTGTTTCCGAAGGGTTTACCGCAGGCGGCGCACACGAAGCAGGTGGTGTGCCACGTCTGCCGCAGGGCGTGCATCACTTCCTGTTACACACAGATCAGTGTGTGTTAGGGTGTTGTGATGACAAGTGGAAAGCTGTGCAGTGACTGTTATTTTGTATATATGATTGTTGTGCTTTGTTTTATGTCTTTATGTGCATATGTATACATTTGTCTGTTGATTGTGTATATATGTATATATATAGGTATATACATATTAGTATTTTTGTATTCGGGATTGTGGGAAACGGTATTTCGATCTCTCTGTCTGTACACACGAACTGAAAGATTGACAATAAAGTTGACTTTTGTTTGACTTTTTGAGGTAGCTTTGTATAAAAATGTGCAAAATTCAGAGGGTTTAAAAAGGTAGACAGGTAAAAAGGTAAACAGGTAAACAGGCATACAGGTGTACAGACAGGTGAACAGATGTTTAGACATACAGGTGTACAGGTTAACAGGTTAACAGACAGACAGGTGTAGCGTCTCACCCCCATGATCTTGGTGTTGCAGCGAGCGCAGGTCGGGCGAAGAACTCCTCGTAGCAGTTCTCGCAGTAAACGTTGTTCTGCTCCTCCACGAAGCTGGCGTCCGCCAGAGACATGTGGCAGTAGTGGCAGTGAAAACTCCTCCGGGTGCCAGGAGCGGCCCAGGGCCGACAGGAAGGGGCCCCTGCAAACAAAAACAACATAATTTACAACATTGTCAGTCAGCTGTAGGTGTTAATGACCAGCTGCCTGTACTACGAATACAGTTCAACAGACCCTGGATATGTTTGAGTTATCTGGCTTAACTAACCCAAAACAAACGCGATCTCGCTAAGCGGTCCTACGACGCTGGTTATCAACTCGGTAACTCAAGCCAGGGTTTCTCTGTCCGGCTGAGAGCGCGTTCACATGAAAGTGGCGGGGTTAGCAACATTTGACCAATCACAAACAGGGACAAGCGTACTGATAGCGCAGTGTCATACTTCCTGAATGAAAAGTAAACTATAATATTAGACAAATATGAAGAAGTTAAACTTTAAACATCCATGACTTAAACACTTTATCCAGGATAAAAGCCACATAGCTGCACCTGCAAGGTGAATACAGCTGGTAACAGAAAAAGTGTTTGAATGCGTACATTAACAGGTTTATGATATCACTGCCCCGTCCAAGACACAAGTGGATCTGACTTTAATTACATTTGACTCGAGTGTTTCGTCAACTTAATGTGTTGCTTAAAATAATACTTCTGCATACAGTATGTGACACTGTGAGTGTTGCACGGCCAGATACGGCTCAAGAAGCTGACTCAGATAAGGAGATATATGATACATTATGATGTGATATGATATGAATGATAATGGGACACATCGCCGTCTGCACTCACAGTGCCGCGGACTGTACGTAATGTTACTTTGATCCGGTTACTTATGTTGTGGCAGATATTTAAGTAAGCTTTCTTAACGCTAATGTTATAATAGTCAGATTGCTCTGAAGATGGGAGGGGATATTCTATTAATTTTCACGTTCACACAGTCAGTTGATTTTTGCCGGCCGTCTTTCCTGCAACGGCCGTTGCAGCATAAGTTACCATGGAGATCTAGCCCGGTAAGAAGAGCACCAGCGTCGTAGGACCGGAAACCCAGAGTTTACCCTGAAGTTAGCTCGCTAAGCGAAAATCCGGCTTCGTAGTATATATATATACATATATATATATATATATATATATACATATTTGTATACATATTTGTATATATCTTTGTTATTGTATTCAGGATTGTGGGAAACGGTATTTCGATCTCTCTATCTGTACACACAAACTGAAAGATTGACAATAAAGTTGACTTTGAAGCTACCTGTTTTTTTATTACCTCTTAACTTTTGCATCCTAAGTCAGAAATAATTGAGCTTAAGATTTGTTATACAGGACAGGTGTAAGTGTAGACAGGCAAACAGGAAGACAGGCAGACAGGTAAAACAGTTTACAATAAGACCAGGGAAGAGGGCTAAAAATAAAGATAATGACCTTATGATTTAACCTCGACACATATATTCATATACTGGGCAGTAACAAAACATCTCTATTCTTTATTTTTTTATTCAAGCAAACTATATAATCAGTATGTATAAAGTACCTGATGACGCCGTTGCAGGACCCGCAGAGAGGCGTGCGGCTGCTGGCGGCGAATCTCTCCGCCCTCTGAGCCACGCCCCTCGCCACAGGTGTGAAGGTGGCGGGGGTTGGTGTGGCGGGGGCAGGGCTTGGAGCTGCAGGTGCGGAGGAGGAGGGGTTGGGGTTGTATGTAGGTGGAGGAGGGGCGCCCTGGGGCAGCTGCTGCACCTTCATGGTGGTGGTCATCTTACTGGGGTCGAACTTGTCTGCAAAGTTGGTATCGGACACCCAGGGTGGTCGGTTAGAGGGGGAGGGGGCCGCGGGTGGTTGGGGGGGGGCAGCAGCGGGGGGGCAAGGCTGAGCAGCAGGGGGTGGAGCTGAAGTTGGAGGACAGGAAAAACATTTGTAAAAGCTTCCAACTCAGGAACAATGCAACAGCAAATTGCATAAAACTGAAGAAGACCTTTTTTTTTTCTGGTATTTTGAAGTGCCATTTGAAAACAAAGATTTGAAGAATGATCTGAACTGAAATGACTGAGACACCTGGAGTATTCAGACATGAGACCCTCCTAAGACTTTAAATTAAAAAAAATAGGATGAGAAATTAAATGGTATTGTTATCTATACATGGACATGTTTATATTTTTTGATGACTAAAAGGCTAGTTTCTTTATAAGCTATTCTTTTCTGCCCTCCCACTTTTATTACATTTAGTTTGCGATTGTCTGTTTCATTCATTGTGTGTATTAATATTCAATTGAAGTAGTTGAATAGAACAAAAGAAAAAACATTAGAAGCCGGTTAAGCATACTGTACAATATATATTCAGTAAAAACGTATATTTGACAAATGTAGGTTACTACGTTATCATGTTGACATTGTAATTTTGTAAAACGTAGCAAAGATCACCTGGCTGGGAGGGGTAGATGCAGGCGGTGCTGACCACCTTGGGAGGGGCGGAGCCAAGAGGGATCTGAATGGAGCTCTGCTGAGTGGGCGGGGCCTGTTGCGTGGGCGGCTGCTGATACTGCTGCGGGATTGGCTGCTGGTATTGTTGTTGTTGCATTGGTTGTTGGTATTGCTGTTGTTGCATTGGCTGCTGGTATTGTTGTTGTTGCATTGGCTGCTGGTATTGCTGTTGCGGCATTGGCTGCTGGTACTGCTGTGGAGGCGGGCCTTGTGGAGCCTGGTGCATGGCAGGAGGCTGACTGTATTGGCTGGAGAAGGATGGGGACAAAAAGTTGATTCATCACAGGGTTCAGTAAACCAGCCAAACTCACTAAGCTGTTGTTCTGAAAACATGCACTTCTAGCCTTCCTGTGCACACCAGAATGTTCTCATGGTTCATAAGAAGACACAAAACAACCACAAAGAGACACAAAATGATTATATCATAATAATCCATGCATGCTACCTGCAGATACCTGAACAATTTGTTTTAATCACCTGCAGAAATACCTGCAGACTCTGAGCACAGATTAAAGTTAAAAAATACCTATCTGTGTTTCCTACATGTGTCAACCACTGATTTGTTGATTTGATGGTTAAAAGTATTCTTCGTGATAAAAAACATTTATTTATGAAATATTAAAATGCTGTTATATGTAATCTAGTTGTAAACAACCCTAATTTTACCTGCAAATCACCAAATCAGCGTTAACTGGGTTTTGTATATCTTAGCTTTGTATACACGCAAATGACAGGAAACTTAAAGCGGGAGTTTTAATAAAAACAGCCGAGGAAGACCAGCATGTAGGGAATGAGTCAGTATCTTGACATTAAAATAAATATGTAAATGTGACTCTGCATGTTATTCAGCTGATGAACGGATGAAGCCGTTATTCAAGATGTCCTGAAGTTGGGGTTAGGGGTTCAATTTTAAAATAAAGGCCTCAATATGCTTCAAACAAAGCGCTTGTTGGTTGAAAACACCTTTTTAATGATGCAATCAGGATGGACACTTTTTGTAATTTTTCTACAGTCTTCTTTCATGACTTTGGGATAATACATTTTGCAGCGAATCAAAGAGCCTTTCTTAAGAGTTAATTTTGATTTTGATTATCTATGTAATTACACATCTGAGAGGATATATTCGACATGCGGAGTTCCTCAAGGCTCCATCCTGGGGCCTCTTCGATTTAAAAATAAATACATGTAAATGCTTCATTGGCTCAAATAATGGAAAACAGCTAAATAAGTTACATTACCTATGCAGACTTGATATAATTGTACATTTCATCAAGGAACTACGGTAAAATATAAGCACTCAGTAAGTGCATTGAACAAATAAATAATTGATGAGAAAAAAAAAATCTAAAAAGGTACATTTTTTGGAGCCAAGATGGCACAAATAAAACTGTAACTCTAAAAACCTGTCAGATATATTTTGTGGAATTAAAGGGAAATATTTAGCTCATAGATAAAGTTGCGTAAAAGACATCAAACAAACAAGTTCTCTGAAAGCATACTGAGGCCTTGAATCCAAAAGGCACTAGGAGGAGTTTTTAGATAAAGAAGCCTCTGTTTTAATTGCAGATGATGTGTTAAGCGGCAGCGTGATAAAAAGAGGCCGTCAGCATGGTGATCTCTGCAGGTTTTTGTACCTGGAGCCTCCGACCCTGCGCTGGACGCTGTAACCAGCGGCAGACTGTCGCTTCAGGCTGCAGGTGTAGAGACAACAACATCACCATCTGCATCCTAACCACAGCCGCCTTTTGGGGTTGTGTTTCTTAGCGACTTTTAAGCCCATTTGGCATGTTATTCCAACTCAAAGGGCTTAAAATATACTTTTTTTCCTCAGTGCAACTGTCCTGAAATCTTCTTTCGATTGATAGTACCATCTTTTACGCTATCCGGATCTGCATGACATTGCAAGAGGCTTTAAGTCAATTATTATTTTTGTAATTGAGGCGAAAAATATTCATATATACTTACAAAGTCTTAGCATCATTCAGACATTGTGAAAGAAATTATACCAACTAATACCGACCTCCTGCATGTATTTTCTCGTTTTGACTTCACTTAACAGCTTCAACACTTGACAACAACAACAAATGCTGAGTGATAACCAGCCCAAAATAAAGTGTGCAATTAAAACATGATGTAAGAAAAAACCTTTGATGTTCTTTGAATATAAAGAAAAACTCAAAAAATTATGAGAATAATACATGAATATCCTCAGACATTATAAAGTTGTACATTTGGAAAAAAAATAAACATTCTCAGAGATTAAAGTCACAATTTGATGAGAAACAAAACTCTCTTTTCTTTCAAGAAACAATGGAGCTCTATGTCTCACAGGAAAAACACATATCAGGCTTTCACACACGCACCACTTGTTAGTAGAGACACCCGCTGCTGTTACCTGTCGGGGGCGGGGCCAGATTCAGCAGGGGCGGGTTCCATAGCAACGGGGGCGAGTCAGCAGAAGCTGAAGCATGCTCAGTAGGGCTAAAGCACAGGAAGCGTTAGCATTCACACTAAGTAGGAAGTATAATGCATATATGTATATATTTGCACATGCAGATCTTACCTCCCTGCATGCATAAGTATATACACACACATATATAATGTATACTGTATATACATTGTATATATACTGATCAGACAAGGTTAGTTAAATCATGGAAAGAGTTCATCAAGCTTGTTACATGTGCAAATCAAAATGCTCCATAGTGCTCAGGTTGATGTGAGATGTGATATATTTGTGTTCATTTGGGTCCAAAATAAGGTTTCATCTGCAAACAAAAAAACCCTTAATGAAAAAAAAGGGATGCCATTTATTGAGCTCTAAAATATGTTTTCTTTGCTCTCTTTTCTTATCTCGAAACACAATCATTTCCTGAAGTAAAGGGTTTGTTTACTTGCTTCTTGTCCAGTAAGCCAGCAATTTGCCTTTTTTCTATAAAGTCACTGACACTCATTTATAGTTTATTTCCACCTCAGCCGTCTCCCTCCTATAAATATTCTCCTTAGAGCTCAATAAGAGACAAATACATTATAAGATGGAGAATCATAACGCATCCACCTACTGTACGAATATGATCACTGGCATGAAAGTGAAGCTTGAGAGAAGAGAAATATTTGTTAGTTTTTTGTTTATTTATTGTTTCGTGTTTAGAGAGGGAAATTAAAACTCTAATAAAAATCAACTTGTTTTTAAAATTTTCCAGGGAATTATTGAAGTCACCTTTTTATTACTATATAATATATTTATTTTCATTTCATTTATTTATATTTAAAGGGGACCTATCATGCAAAATGCACTTTTTGATGTCTTTTATACATAAATATGTGTCCCCGGTGTGTCGGGGAACTCACGCAGCGTCAGAAAATAAAACCCTCTCTCTTTTCCTCCGTACCCAAATCTCTAAAAACGGGGCTACAACGGAGCTGATCCAGATTTGCGTCCGATATGACGTAATATCTGAAATGTGGACCCACGGCCCTATCAGAAACGTTGCTATCAGAAACAATGCCCGACTGTTTTGGACGTAATATGGTCGGTGTTTACATTAGCATCGCTAACACTCAGAGCTAACCTGTACTGGAGAGCATGTGTGTGAAGAAGCAGGAAATAAAAAAGGAACTCACCTTGTGGTATAACCGGCAAGAGAGAAAGCCTTTGAGCTCCATACTGTTTCAGAAAATCCTTGATAATCCATGATATGGCGTTTCATCACGGCAGTATTTAGTTTAGACAGTAGCTGCCGGGTCCCGCATGAGCTCAGACCCCTCCTTTTTTATTTTTATCAATCTTTTATTTTTTTAAAGCTTTATACCCCAAATCAGCACTTTTGAAACAGGAAGTGAAATAGAGGGATATGAGGCATGGCTAGAATGGGTGATCTGTTTGGTATTTTGAGCAAAACACTTCATAGACATGTTTTTTTATATATTTTTTATATCTGAGACCTATGCTATTGCCTAAAAATAGCATAATAGGTGACCTTTAAGTTTAAATTATTTATGACATTATATTTATTTTGACATGTGATATAAATGAATATTATCAATGTGTTTTGTTTTTTTCTCTACAGAAAACATTATTTATTTTAATTCTTTAAATAATGCGTGTAGAGGTCTCCATATCAGATTTTATAAAACGTATTAAATCGAACATATCCCTCTGTGTTCATCTTTGTGTGAGTCACATCTCAGGAGGATTTCGAGACAAAACCCACAGTCTCTTTACGGGCGGATAAAAGCTTGACCTCTGACCCCATTGATTCACGTTGAGTCATTGCACTCTGGATACAGACTGAAGGGAGAGGGGGGGGTATCTGCTCTTATTTCAGGCAGCAGCAACGATCGATGTGCATAATGGAGGGATGATTAAATAAGTGTGCTGAGCAAAGAGAGCTGCATCCATCAGGGCGGGGGGTGGAGGAGGGCGGGGGGGAAAAGGTTTGTCCTCCACACTAAAGCTAAAATAAGAGGAAGACTAACGGAGAGAGCAACAGGAGACTTCAGTAACCGTTCAGCAAAAATGATTTGGTCATAAAATATGAAGATAGACATTATCTTCTGCAGTTACAGGCTGCTTTATTTGAGGTCTTATTAGGGATGTAGTAGGTCAAATAAAAAAAAATACCTACGTGTAGGGGAGTAATATTATATCTGAGAAAAAAAACTAAAACAATTCGTAAAAAAAAACACTTGATCAAAGACCCAAAAATTAGCAAGAAGAAAAACGTACATTTATGACTTTGATATCAGGTATTTTGAGGATTTATTTTCTTTGAATATTAGTCTCTGTAGAACTCCATATTTGCGTACAATTTCTATAAACTTTTCTGCATTTTAAGCACCATTATTATTGAGTTTATTGTTAATATTATATAAGATGTATTGTGGGTGTTTAATCAGTGGGAAAACATAATAAATAAATAAACGAGATCCATCATCCTATTGTGCCCCCTGTTGGAGAAAGCAGCGCTGAAGGACATGGTGCTTATATAAAAAAAAATGTACTCCCAACTAAGACTGAATAAATGTAATTGAATACAAACAATAACTTTCCACAGCTGCCATTTAAAAAAATAAGGGTGTTAAAATAGGGCGAGTTTTCACGATCATTTTAGAGAAGGGGTGACCGATCGGGGGAGTGAGGAGAGGTGAGGGGGGGGCAGAGTGTAAAGGTGCTGGTGGTGGTGGTGGTGGGGGTGTCAGCAGCTTTTAATGGAGCTCTGCTGCCTACCTGCTCCTCCTCAGAGCCCCCTCTTCCTCCTCCTCCTCCTCCTCCCTGGTACTGTAACACAAACAGCAGACGTCATCGGGCTTCCTCAGTTCAAAGTTTACCGACACTGATGTTGAAAAGTTTGTAATCTGCTGCCTCAAGCGTCTAAATGTGTCCAATCCATTACGTCACAGCTGGTCAAGGCTCAGTTAAATGAATGGAGAGGGGAAAAACTCTGGGTTCAGCTTTTAAATAAGAGCTATTAACTGGATACTGTGTAGTTGATTTAGCTAAAAAATAAAATCTACCCTGATTAACAGACGTCTCTTTCCAAATATATGTTAATAAGAAAAAGTATTTTTGGGCCAAATGACGTCACAGACTGACAAATAAGTTGTATTACCGTTTGGCCACTACACAAATTAGATTTAACGTCCAGTTCACTTCTTGGGGGCTTGGTCGCCATCTTACATTTTGGGCCTATGGAGATAAATCCTTAAGATGCCATTAAACACAGTGTTACTGCTCTTTTAGCGCAATGTTCACAACATTGGGTACATCCACGTAACGGAAGTTTGAATAATTTAAAAACTGTAAACTATTCATTGGTGTGTGAACAATACTTTTTATCTCAGTTAAAATAGATAAACTGAGGAGACAGCCGATTACAAACTTTTCAATAGAGTGCCACAGTGACGCGTCCTAGAACCCGGAAGTAAGTTAGCATTTTACCACTTCCGGTTCCTTTGCCAAAACGCAATGGGATTTCTCCATAGGATTTTGGAAAATAGCTGGAAATAAGGTCTGTGGTAGAGACACATTGAAGAGACAGATCACGTTTTGTTCTACGACATTAAATCCATCAGCAGTGACCCCACTGGTGACTTTTGAAGAGTTTACGTGTCTGAAAAACGATGGTTGTTAACAAGTGGCTGAATAGGACTATAGAAATGGTCGAGGCCGTTGTACGTCATTACACCGAACACGTAAACACTCCCGCTAAGTTTGTTTACCGTGTTCTGCTTGAAAGCAAGTACCTGCCTCCTGCAAACTGTTAAAACAAACGCTTCAACTTGTGCAATTTTGAATCTGTAGTTTTGAATATGGATCTTAAGTTGGCGTGACGTTGAAGCAGCGACCCTGCTGTAGTTCGTTTATAGCATAACGTTAGCATTTTGCTTCTGGCGACTAGATTTATGATTAGAAAATTATAAACGTAGGGTAGACGTGTGGAGATTATCCGACTGAACAAAACGTGATCCGTCTCTTAAATGTGTCTCAACCACAGACCTTATTTCCAGCTATTTTCCAAAATCCTATGGAGAACTTGCATTGCGTTTTGATGAAGGAACCGGAAGGAGTTTACTTCCGGGCTTTAGGACGCATCACTGCGGTTCATAGTCTATCTTTATATGAGATTTTACGCTAAATCAAAGTAACCTGCAGACTTACCGGCCTCGGTGCCGGTCACGAGGGCCAGGACTTTGAAGGTCTTGGACTGCATGTTGGCTGTGGTGCTGCGACGGCCCCCCCCACCAACATCCTGGTCCTTTTCTGCACTCTGAACCGCCTGATAGACCGGCGAGTCGCTGTCTATAAGAGCCTCTTTAACGGGACTGCAAACCCCCCCCAAACCACACCAAACCAGGTCAGACAGTAAAGCTTGAGCTGATTTTAAGGAAGGACCTGCAGCGCTAAAATGTTTTTACAACACGCAAGTAATACTTTGGATTGATGGTGCAAAAGAAAGCAATATTGGGCTGGTGTTGATTTGATTTTGCATGACTTGATTTAAATAAAGCTGCAAAGGAGAGGAAGTTAAAGGGTTTAAATATCTATAGGGCAGCAACTGGGAGAGGCTGTGGCTCAGTGGGTAGTGTGCTGGACTTCGAATCAGGGGATAGCAAGTTCGAGTCCCACTGCAGTCAGCATGTCGTTGTGTCCCTGAGACACTTCACCCCAAATTGCTCCTGTGGGGATTGCCCACAGTATTGAGTATGTAAGTCACTTTGGATAAAAGCGTCTAACAAGTAACATGTAATGTAATGTAACTAAGGATTATTTTAGGACACATTTTCTATAAAATCTCAGAAAATAGAGTTAAATGTCTGGCAGACGCTCAAAGTCCTCAACATTTAAAGATATTCTCCTTAATATGATATCATTCATATATAAACCATTTCAGAAGCTGAAAAATGTATTTTCTGACATTTTTTAAAGGGAAATTACTACAATATATTGCAAAATAGAAGCGTTTGTGTCGTGTTTCAGTGTTATAAGATTCTTGTTATACACATAATAAACAGTTATACACCTTCAGTAGAAGAAGATAGTGAGGTACCACTTCACAATAAGACTACCCTTATAAAGGGTTTATAAAGGGTTTCTTATTAGGTTATTAATTAGGTTGTAAACACTTTATTAATCATTCATTATAAACCAGTTCTAACATAGTTTTCATACATCAACACAGGCTCACTATTTGGCAAGATGACTAAGCCTTATATTGGCTACTTAGCGAGAATCAACTCAGTGAGCAACAGATACCAAGGATGCTGGCTGATGAAGGAGATGAAGTAAGCTAGGTAGCCAATATAAGGCTTAGCAGTGCAGATCAATGTGGGCTCACTATTTGGCAAGCAACCGGTCACAGTTGCCCTGTTTATCTCATGTCTTATAAAAGCTTATTAAGGATTTATAAAGTGTTCACAACCTAATTAATAAATGAATTACAAACTATTCGTAAACCCTTTATAAGGGCAGTCTTATTGTAAAGTGGTACCGATAGTTATTTAAATCCTTCTAGGGGTGCAATTAAGGATTATTTTCAGTATAAATGAATTGAATATTCACAATATTTTTCTAAAAATCATCAGAAAAAAAGGGTTCAAGTTGATGTCTTTAAATGTCTTGTTTACTCTTTCCAAAAACCACAGATTTTCACTTTAATACTGTTTTTTGTTGCTCATTGTCAGTGACTTTGGATAAAGGTGTCATCTAAATAAAATAGAAATGATAAAAGCAGTAAATCTTCATGTTTGAGAGGCTGAAAACAGCATTTAAAGACATTCTTGCATGAAGAACACGAGTATAAAACATGTTGTATTGTGTTCTAGTATTAGATGTTTGTTAGACTCATAATGAACAGATACCAGAAGAAGAAAAAGGGTCTCAGAACATTCGGTTTTCTTTCATTTAAGTTTTACTACCCAGCTTATTGTCAGTTTAGTTTTGTATTCTGAGCGTTCCTCAGTGAATGAGAGTTTGACGCAGCGCGACGAACAGCAAGTGTGATTGGTTTCTCAGTGGAGCTCGTGGTATTTTAATTAAAGGCGGTGTATGAGGGTGTAAAAGTGTGTGTAGACGTCTGTAGTAATTTCATTTTCACTCTCAGAGGTGAAAACAAGAGCCATTTCTTAATTCATGCACACACTGCAGCACGGATCCAGGAGCAATTTTCCAACAGGATGGAAAAATGTTTTGTAAGTGTCAGAGGAGGAAGAGGAATGCAACAACAACAACAACAACAACAGCAACCAGAGATACAATGCTGCAGAGAGAACTACTGCAAAATATTTTCATCTAAACTGTAAATGATTTATTTTATTGAATATAACTACTTTTTTTAAATTCTGTTTATTTAACAAATATATAATTTAATATTTCCTGTTAACGTAAATTTGTTTTTTGTAAGATACCTCAGCATTTGGTAATTGGAAAATGGTTGGTATAATGGTATAATTTTAAAGAGGAATATGAGAGTAGGAGGAGGAAGAAAGGTGTTACAAAAATAACAAATAAATAACTGAGTTTTTTTTAATTAATTTCCACATTTAAAGGTGGGGTAGGTAAGTTTGAGAAACCGGCTCGAGATACACTTGTTGTTATATTCCATGGAATGCTCTTAACATCCCGATAGCAATGAATATCTGAAGTGCTTTGACAAAAAATCCATAAAAAAATATCATCTGTGGAAGCCGTGGCGCTGTAAAAAGCACGACCAATCATCTGAGCCGGCCCGGCTAAAATAACTGGATGGCCTACCTGCTGTCAGCCTTCCATCTGTGCACAAACTTATCTCGTGCCCTCATTGGTCATGTGCGCGTTCGTGTGTGTTGGAGGAGGGGCTCTGTAAGGAAGTGGCAGATTTTTTCCGGCTGTGTATTTTCAAATTCTTGCGCACTCGAGCTGGTTTCTCCAAAATTACCTACCCTACCTTTAAAGGTGGGGTAGGTAAGAATGGAGAAACCAGCTCGAGTGCGCTAGAATCTGCCCCTTCCTTCAGACTTCCTTACAGAGCCCCTCCTCCAACACACACAAACGTGCACATGACCAATGAGGGCACAAGATAAGTTTGTGCACAGATGGAAGGCTGACAGGCAGGTAGGCCATCCAGTTATTTTAGCCGGGCCGGCTCAGATGATTGGTCGTACTTTTTACAGTACTACGGCTTCCACAGATGAAATATTTTTATGTATTTATTGTCAAAGCATTTAATGTATTCATTGCTATCGGGATGTTAAGAGCATTCCATGGAATATAACAAGTGTTTCTGAAGTGAATTACCTACCCCACCTTTAAGCTGTTGTACAAAATGTAAAATAATGATGTCTTTGACATGAAACACTTCTATATTTGGTAATTATGTCTTTGAAAATTGATTGTTTATAAACCCAATTGTAAAGAAGATCATGAGGAAGATATGGTGAGGAAGAGGAGTAAACGGATGGGGATGGTGAGGAGGAGGAGGAGGAGGAGGAGGAGGAGGAGGAGGAGGAGGAGGAGGAAGAGGAAAAGATGGATGGTGCTTTGGTGTGAAGAAAAATGGATGGCGGGAAGAATATGGCGAGTAAAAAGGACGCCAGAGGAGAAGATGATTAAGGAGGAAGGACGGGACATTGGTGAGGAGGAAGAGGATGATGAAGAGGCGAAAGAGGAGGAGGAGGAGGAGGAGGAGGAAGGTGCTCTTACCCGGCGTCGTGCCCCATGCCCTGCGTCTGCCCTGCGATCACGTCCATGATGGCGTCCTGAGAGTTACATGCTGATGGGGGGGTGTTGTACTGCGCGTGATGATGGTGGCCTTCCCTCCGGGGGCCGTCACCTCGGATGGGCCTCTGGGGGGGGGCCGGGGGGGCTGAAGCTGGTGCTGTGAGGTGAGGGGGGGGGGGTTTGGAGGTGGGAAAGGTTGAGGGGTGTGTGTGAGGGTAGGACACGAGGAGTGTGTGTGTGTAGTGTGAAGGTGTTAAAAAGAAGAAGCATCCAGGCCAATCATGCTCACAAAAATGTTCACTTTCCTCCAATAAAAAAGGTCAAAATGGCGTCCTGTAGCCGTCGTTTATCAAATCAGAACGACAGCGTGCTTTTCCATATTATTTTAAAAGTATGTGGGATCAGTTTTACTTTATACTTTAACATAAACACATTGAATTCCTATAATAGCTATCTTTACTGCAATAATCTTATAGTCCAAGATGTCATTTTTATGCCACTAGGGGGCAACAAAAAGCAACTGAGGCGATAAATTGGGATATTAGGATTTCATTTTTGTGCATAATTATATGCAGAGGACTCTTCTGTACACTCTGATTAAAAAAACTTGTGGATTTGTGACTTTAATCTCCAAAAATGTCTGAGTTTTCTTGTAAATATGTGATTTTTTTTAATACAAATGCCGATTCTCAATAAAAAAGAAACATTCCTAAATAGTGCGATTTTGATTCGCTTTTTTCCCTTCAATGGGTCTTATGCACTGGTCTTATAATACACACTGTTTCCTTGGATAAAATAATATATTACATTACATTACATTTAACTTGTTAGACGCTTTTATCCAAAGCGACTTACATACTCAATACTGTGGGCAATCCCCACAGGAGCAATTTGGGGTGAAGTGTCTCAGGGACACAACGACATGCTGACTGCAGTGGGGTTTGAACCTGTGCTCCCATGATCCCAACACCAACGCACAACCCACTGCACCACACGCCTAATAATTCAAACATGGTAATAAATAAACCTCATGCGTTTTCAATCATAAAACATATTTTGACCTTTGTGTAAATGCAAATAAATGCAATGCATCAGAGATGATTGTATTACAGCATGGATGTCATAAATTACGTTTTTATAATAATATATAAATGTCTCTGAAGATGCATGCAACACCACTGTGGCTGTGGCGCAGTGGACTAGTGCGTTGGTGTTCGGATCAGGGGGGCACAGGTTCAAACCCCACTGCAGTCAGCATGTCGTTGTGTCCCTGAGACACTTCACCCCAAATTGCTCCTGTGGGGATTGCCCACAGTATTGAGTATGTAAGTCGCTTTGGATAAAAGCGTCTAACAAGTGACATGTAATGTAATGTAATGAAAACCCAGAGGTGTATTCTCTCTTGAGACTCATTTGTCTCTTTGAACAACAACAACAACAACCGTCCAGTCTGAAACCCTCAGCAAACCACCATGATGCAACAATCACTCTGCACAACACAACACAGGCAACATGTCCAAAAGCGACCTTTATAACTTCTGAAAACCCGACAACATGACATGTATATCCCGTTTCACACAGTACATGCTCGGCTCTGAGGAACTGTTGGAGTACCAATGTTAAAACTTCTCTCTTTTGTTTATTTTTAAGTTTTTTTACACTATTATTTCTGTCACTTTTCACTTGAATGCAATACTAAGAATGTATCTCCATTCTCTAAAGTCAAATTCTATCCAAATATATGAGTTGTTTCTCAACAAAACATTTAGAAAATCTGCTAAATATATGCGTTTAAAGGTGAATTAAAACGCACCTCATTACATTTTGTATTTTAGTCTGCCACCGTGTTGAATAAACGATTTATTTACAAGCCTAACTTGATGATTTGTAGACATTCAGGCTGAAAAGACATACCTTACTCTTTGAATCAAAAAAGCACTAATGTAAATCATAATCAAAATTGCAAATTGAGCTGGAATTTGTTTTGATTAGAAATCTGGCTGATGGCAAACATGGTCTCAATTTGTCCAAGAAAATCAATATACTATTCCCAATGTTCGTATTGCTTGTAGTAATTTTACTGGTCTATTATTGGAACATGATGTACTAATGATTCAAAGTCTACAGGCAGCACTTCAGAAACAAAGCATGCCTTAAAAAGACCAAACACACACAACACTCAGCAGAGAGGATACTAACTTGGAGGAGCCGGAGAGAAAACCTTCGTTTGAGCGAAGAAACAGAAGAAAGGAGAAGATTTAGTCATAAAAAAAAATCACATTTCAAGGTTTGTTGTGTTGTGACAGCAGGACTTCCCCTAGAGAGAGAGGGAGGAAATAAAGGTCAAGAGGTGAATCCCATAATGAAGCTCGGGAGACGCACACTTCCTCCTGCCCGGTGATCTGCTAGAGAGAAAGTAGTTCCTGGCTCACAACAAGGTCTGTGGATTCATTTGTGGAGCTCATTTTAAATACTCTATATACTGATGGGTAGTTTAATTTGTGTATTACAGAGGCATAAGGGGGAACATGGGAAAGCATATTTACTAATTTAGCAATTTTAGAATAAAGGTGAGATGTTGGGAATAGTTTTTCTCAACAAAATATATAGAAATCTTCCACCCAACATTTCCCCTTAATACCAGCCCCTTTTCTCTTCAGTACTCTGTATTATCTTTGTTTTAATAACGTGTATCAGATACATTTTATAGTGGAGTAGAAGCATAAAGTAGCCGGAAATGGAAAGTAAAGACCATAAAACATTTATAAACTATTTCATGATATAAAATAATATATAATATAGGGACGGAGTGGCGCAGTGGGCTGTGCGTTGATCATCAGATCAAGGGTGGCGTTGGAGAACTCCAGTTCGAAACCTGCCGCCACTGCGTCAGGCTGTTGTGTCCTTGGGCAAGACACTTCATCCAAATGTGCTCTTATGTGTGTAATGTGTACTTCAAAGCGCCTTGATGACTTTGAAGTGTGAAGATGGGCGGAGTGGCGCAGTGGGCTGTGTGTTGATCATCAGATCAAGGGGGCGTTGGGGAACACGAGTTCGAAACCCGCCGCCGCTGCGTCTGTAAAGCTGTCGTGTCCTTGAGCAAGACACTACTCCTGAATTTGCTCCTGTGGGTATTGTCCACAGTACATGACCGTTACATGTATGATATGTGTGTAATGTGTATTTGTAAAGCGCTTTGAGCATCTGGAAAAGTGCTATAAGAAATGTAAGGAATTATTATTATTATTATTATTATTATGATACTCAGTTTTCATCCCATGTTTTGTTTTTGTGCGACTTTTAAGACTCTGAATGTTCTGATGCACCCATTTTTCTCCTTCTTCTCGGGGTCAAGGGTCAGCAGAAGGTTAGAGGAGTCGGGTATTAATCTACCAACACAGTGGGTGTTTCTCAATGTCGAGTACGCTTGCTTGGTAGCACATGTCTTCCGAGCGTCTTGCTTCATAAAACGAGGCCTCGAAATTTCTCCAAACGAAGTACGCCGGGCTCGGTAGAATTCCAAGTATGCTGGACATTGGAACAGTACTTTGGCGGCACTCGATGACGTAGTATGCTTGAAACAGTGGCTCAGGAGCAGCTTTACTCAAGATTGAGAAACACCCAGTGAGATATTTCTCCGACAGTCTCAGGAGTGAGGTGTTGGTCAACATGGCGGGAAAACGCTGCTCAAAGGAAGCCATATTTTCCTCCGCTGCGACTCTACGTACCCGACAGGCAGCCCGGCCTGAATGGCAGCCATCTCCCTCAGAGTCTCCTCTGAGTACAGGCCGATGGGGTTGTTATACTGCTTCCTCTGGGTGGGGCTCGCCGCCGCACCCCCGCCCGGAGAGTCTGCCCCCGCAGGCCCGGGGGAGGCACTGCAGGCCGACAGGTGGCCGTTCACCTGAGGCTCCAGGGGTAACAACAGCTATCAATATACTGGTGTCTTATAGATATTGTTAGAGCCAGTATTTTGTTTTCAAAGAAAGGCCACCTAATTAGGCGCTTTCACACCGGAGTACTTTTCCCAGTATAGTTCCGATAGTTCTTGAAATTTTGCGTTCACACCAAAAAAATCCGCTAGAGAGCAGGTACTTTCCTGGGGAGAAAAAGGTTCCCATTTCTGATTGGCTGGGCGGATTGCAAACCACGCCCCGTAAAACTCGGAAAAGTTTTGTGAAGCCGCCATTGTATTTGCTGGCATTAGCATTATTAGCATTAGCATTAGCCCAGCGCACCAACGGAGAGAGACTAACTTATGGCAACACAAAAGAAAACATGGGAGTGGTGGAGATGAGGAGGTGTCGGCGTTCTGGCGATTTACTCGGAAGGCTTCAGTAGAAGCTGCTGGGAGTCCCAGCAGCTTCTACTGAAGCCAGTCCCCAACTCCGGGGACTTCCGGCCGGGGACTTCGGGTGGCAGTATACGCCGTGAAGTTGTTTGCGGCCTGCCAGTAAACCCAAAGTAGAAGAAGAAGAAGTGACGTCAGTGGCTTCATTTGCCTAATCCTCCCTCAGGGACTTATTCCGGTGTGAACGCGATCTGCGTGAACCAGTGTTGTAGTCAAGTCACCAATTCACGAGTCCAAGTCACTCTCGAGTCACCACTCTTCGAGTCCGAGTCCAAGTCCGAGTCACCAAGGGAGAGTCGTAGTCGAGTCCGAGTCCAAGTCCGAGTCACCCAAGGAATGTCCGAGTCGAGTCCGAGTCCGAGTCATCATTACCTGTGTTCGAGTCCGAGTCCAAGTCCGAGTCACCCAAGGAGTGTCCGAGTCAAGTCCGAGTCCGAGTCATCATTACCTGTGTTCGAGTCCGAGTCCAAGTCCGAGTCACCTAAGAAGAGTCCAAGTCAAGTCCGAGTCACAAGTCTTCATGTATTAATCTTCATGGATATATGTGTTGAAATGTAGCTGCTCCTCTACATTGCTTTTATCCTGTCAATGTTATACTAATCTGTCTATTGAACTGCTGTGAAGCCAGTTTGGCTACAATTCTTGTAATAGGTGCTATACAAATATAAAGCTTATTACTAATATTAATATTATTATTATATATAAACTATGTTTAAAATGAGTTACCTTTTAGAGAAGTGATTATATTTGTATGCCAATATTTTCCTATGGTAAAGTTTTCGTTTTGCACTTTTATTTTGATAGTAATAAGATCGGGACTCTTATTTTGAAGGAACTTTTACCGGTTAAATCGGTTTACTGATAAAGATTTAGCCCCAGAAAGCACATGGCTACTTAGCATGCAAAATGACGTCATTCTGCATGTTAAGTAGCCATATGCTTTCGTGTTATCGGCTGAATCTTTATGTATTGATTAGATGACGTTACTCTGATGATAGTGTTCAAGACAGCCTATATGTCTGAACTCGATGTTTAGAGTAATGTGTTACGGAGCCTTCTCTTCAATATTGTTTCCACATAGAGCATTTTGCGCTGCTCTTTTCCAATGTGGAAGCAGAATGTGTGAAAGCATACAGCACGATGCGGGGTGTGTCTCTAGACATCTTTAGACTGGAATAGCGGGGCCCAGTACGTGAACTCGCCTCGCAGCCGGTGCACACGCCAGGATAGAGGACATCAGACTCCATAGAAAATTTGCTCGAGTCCGAGTCCGAGTCCAAGTCGGAGCGTCAATGTACAAGTCGAGTCCGAGTCATCATGGGGGGAAAAATTCACGAGTCCGAGTCCGAGTCCAAGTCAGCGTACGCGATAATTCACGAGTCCGAGTCCGAGTCCAAGTCATCGTGCGCGAGAATTCACGAGTCCAAGTCCGAGTCGCGTCAATCAGTGCGGGAGTCCGAGTCGAGTCACGAGTCCCGAAAATCGGCACTCGAGTCCGACTCGAGTCCGAGTCCAGGACTCGAGTACTCCATCTCTGGCGTGAACTAAGTTCTGATGAACTAAGTACTGGGAACTAAGTACGGCAAAGTACTTGGTGTGAAAGCGCCTATTGTGACGTCTGTAGTCAACACACTTTAAAAGACAACAATTCCCACGGCACCTGCGCTAAAGTGACAGTGATGGGCAGCAACCTGCTAGAAAGAGGCCGTCGAGGAACAGTTTTTAACCGTCCAATTACCCTTTAAGTTATTACGTTATATAAGCCTTATCAAGACAGAAAGAATACCCAAGTTGTGTGTTATTTTATTTGAGTTTTGCCTATTTGTTTTGACTATTTCTTTGTTGCATGTGTAAAAGTTTGTTATTTTATTTTAGCAAACACATCGCATAACATCATCTAACCATCGGAGGCTGTAAGTTAAGTATAAAGGAAGAAAGTAAGTAAAAAATGTCTGTTTTAAGGCGTCAAGGAAACAAGGAAGGAAGCCACGACAGGTATATTACACTGTTGTTGAAATGTCCTTTTGTGATCATCAGTACCTCTGCTACCTTTGTCTTCCCACTATCTGAGTTAAGTACTCCTTTATTAAAGTTTTATTTTTCTAAAAATCATACTTTCAAGTCGTATCTTCCTTTGGCCACCAGGAGGCGACATCACATCATAATGAACCAGTAGTTTGATTTTGTGTGTGTCGATATATGTGTGTCCTTATAAAGCAGCAGTGTGTGTTTTCTTTTGGCAGAGCAGAACATACATAGAGGAAAATACATGTTTTTATATTTGTTAAGCAGTAAAGAAACACTGAGGAGGAAAAAAGAACATCTTAAAAACATGAAAGCAAAATATAACACTAATTTTTAAACACAAACAGAATGGATTCCTACATCAGTTTTATATCTTAATATCTCAGGTGCATTTGTGGATGTGCAGCTGTGTGCAGCAGCAGAAATGCATTATGGGTAAAGGTACCTGTTGTTGAGGGACTATGGGAAAGGCGCTCGGTATCGGCATCGCAGCGTTACGCTTCGCCCTGCAGGAAGAAACACAAACAGAGAGGAGATCATTGACATGTTGAATAACTTCTGATTTACCTTAATGTTTTCTAAAAAAAGTGCCATATATTGTCATGTTGTATGTTTTATTTCTGATTTTAAAATAATAAGTTATATCCTCGAGAATATCGTTTGACTTAAACGTCACCTATCATGCTATTTTTAGGCAATAGCATAGGTCTCAGATATATAAAAATCAACAAGTCCTCCAACTAATACGACCAAATAGGCCGATTGTTCCGACCCATAATACGACCCACAGGAGCGTTACGTTACGTTTGTTATGAACGTATCTCAAATACGGTTATTTTCTACATATCTTTGCCATTTATTGTCTTGCTTATAATAATGATAATAGTAATTTAACAAATATCATTTTAGAGCACACATTTGAAATCGACAATCGGGCTTGATATCGATATCCCCTTTAAGTCTTGAGAGTGCGCTCAAGACCTCCCTTTATAACAAAGCCTTTAGTTAGAGCTGGTTTCAGATTACTCCCTATGTTCGTCCTCCTGGTTCTTACATTTGTTGGTATTTTATTGTATCTTAATTCATTTTTTTTCTATTTTACTCTATCTGGTCTTTTCATTATTTTCCTATAAATGTATTGTTTACAATGTTGTTGTTTGTTTCTGTAAAGTCCACTGAGACAAACGTGTTTTGTGATATTGGACTATATAAATAAACTTTGATTTGACTTTGATTCCTATAAATTATTTATCCTCTAGGGAGCAGCGTTCACAAAAAGAGACGAACATTAAAGGGGACCTATCATGCAAAATGCACTTTTTGATGTCTTTTATACATCAGGGAACTCACGCAGCGTCAGAAAATAAAACCCTCTCTTTTCCTCCGTACCCAAATCTCTAAAAACGGGGCTACAACGGAGCTGATCCAGATTTGCGTCCGATATGGCGTAATATCTGAAATGTGGACCCACGGCCCTATCAGAAAGTTGCTATCAGAAACAATGCCCGACTGTTTTGGACGTAATATGGTCGGTGTTTACATTAGCATCGCTAACACTCAGAGCTAACCTGTACTGGAGAGCATGTGTGTGAAGAAGCATGAAATAAAAAGGAACTCACCTTGTGGTATAACCGGCAAGAGAGAAAGCCTTTGAGCTCCATACTGTTTCAGAGATAATCCGTGATAATCCATGATATGGCGTTTCATCACGGCAGTATTTAGTTTAGACAGTAGCTGCCGGGTCCCACATTTTTTTAAAGCTTTATACCCAAAATCAGCACTTTTGAAACAGGAAGTGAAATAGAGGGATATGAGGCATGGCTAGAATGGGTGATCTGTTTGGTATTTTGAGCAAAACACTTCATAGACATGTTTTTTACATATTTTTATATATCTGAGACCTATGCTATTGCCTAAAAATAGCATGATAGGTGACCTTTAAAAAAAAGAGACATTCATTACAGGAATAATTAACAGTCATTATTATGCTAGAAACGACATCATTCTTCTTACATCATTGTAAGTAAAATAGACTGACTAGATAATTGAACAATCAATAATTTCTGTCTTTTTTGTCTTATTTTCTTGCGTTATGGACATTCTTGAGGGGAAAGGAAGGAATTGATGCTGTATATGGAAAAATGGGAACTTTTAATAACATGATGTGTAAAAAGAACAAAAACACTGTTACTTGTAAAACTTTACCTACCTAATATTCTTGACTACATATAAAATAATAAACCATTAACCAGCCTCACACCCCAGACATCTATGAAGGGTCTGAAAAGTATTATTTGTATTTGTCGAACTGTAATTCAGTTGAAGCTGAGATGCAAATACTCCATGTTTGACAGACACAACCGGCTTATAATCACAGGTTTGTTTCAAGGTTCAAGGTTAGTTTATTTGTATAGCACATTTTAAAGGGGACCCATCATGCAAAATGCACTTTTGTACGTCTTTTATACATGAATATGTGTCCCCGGTGTTCCAGGGAACTCACCAAGTGTCAGAAAACACAACCCTCTCTATTTTCCTCCATACCCAAATCTCTAAAAAAGGGGCTGCAACGGATCTGATAAAAACTGATCCAGATTTGAACACTGTCCTGACGTCAGGACGGTGGCGCTACGGCTATTGGGCCAACTCCACCAATCAGGAGGAGACAGCCACGGCCATTGCCGTTCGAAAGCGCTGGAGACGCTGTAGTACATATGCCAGGCCTGTAGATGGTGCTGTTCTCACAGAATCTGCCCTTGCAAAAACAGGGCTAAAAAATGTCAAATTGAGCAAAATGAGGCATGGCTAAAATGCTGTTTGGTATTTTGAAAAAAAAAAAGTATAAATATGTCTTATATAGGTATGGTCCTATACTATATTATTCAAATATAGCATGATAGGTCCACTTTAAGACACAGAGGCAAACAACACAAGATGAGAAAACTCCTCATCTTCATCCCTTTTTCTTATCTTCAACCCCCCCGAGGGTCTGCTGTTATGAGACATTCATTTCCTCCCAGAGTTTATCAGATGTCTGTCAGACACCTTCAGGGATGGCACAAAGTCTTTTCCCATCGTTTACCCTGCAGCATGTTCCCAGAAAATGCAGCACAACCCTCCATGCTAAGTTTATTTTCAGAGCAGGGGGGGAATGTGACTTAATATATTTACTGCCCTACATTTAGCTCACAACTTTAGTAACTCTTCAGTAAAGATTTTGCATTTAAAGAACAAGTTAAACTATTTGCATCCTTCAGAATTCCCAGTGGAATAACTGACTGAGGTACAAAAAGGAAAACATCACTATGTAACAACTCGCGCTTCTATTGGCTACACATTGTACGTGATAGGCAAAGGGGCGGGACATCTCAAATCCCCCCCCCCCCGAAACGCCTCCATTGGATTCCTTTGTTTACTTAGTGACATCACTATGTAGGCTATAGGCTAAGGGGCGGGACATCTCTAAGCGGTTGAACAATCACAACAGAGTCGGCCAGCTAACCAATCAGAGCAGACTGGGCTCTGGTTTCAGACAGAGGGTGAAAAGAGGTGCTGCAGCACAGGCAGTATGAGAACAATAAAGAGCTTTTTGAACATTAAAGCATGGAGACATGTCCCAGTATTATATAATATTTTATTTGTATGTACTTGCACTATTTTATCTGTTTTATTGTGTTGCACTGTTGGAGGAGGAGCCTGTGACCTAAGATTTCGATTGTCATAACTACACTGTAGCTATGTACACATGACAATCAAAGCCTTGAATCTTGAATCAGTAGAGACACTAAATACTTATATGAACCTGAAAATGAGCACAGATAAGAAGATAAAAGGTTAGTTTTAGTCTTTGGTTCCTTACTTGGTCATGGTGAGTGCCAGGTTGTAGTTGGCCATCTTGATCTTGTTCTGCGCCTCCAGATGGGTCATCCCGTCCGTGCCGACCCCATCGATGGCCACGATCACGTCGCCCTGCACCAGGTTACCCTGCGCCGACTTGCTGCCCGGCGTGATCTGAACACAAAGACAAACACTGTCAGAACATATGTTTGCTCCGAGAATCTTTAAAGGTCCCCGATTATACTGTTTTTCATCAATATATTATAGGTCTCAGATATATACAGAACCTGCCTCTGAAGTGTTTTACTCCAAATACCAAACAGATCATTGCAGCATCCCATAATCCCCTCTGTTTCAGCCCTGTTTCAAAAGTGCTGATTCTCTGTCTGTTACTTGAGATGAAAATAAGGAGCCCCTCCCCACGCCCCTCTGAGAGATATTTGGTTAAAAAGAACACAATGGTGCTCTAGGAGGAGATTCAGGTGATAAGGTGGGGGGGGGGGTTACCTTGGTTGCTGATTGGCTAATGGTTACACAAGCCAAAACATCGTTATGACATCATAAAGGAATAAACATGTCCTTATTTTTGTGGCATCTTATTTCAGAGGTATCCTGATTACAGGTTCAGGTCACTCCAATTTGCATCTTTAATCAACTTAATAACGAATAAGCTTCAGTGAAAAGGTTCACAGATTTCCATGAAACACTCAAATGAAAGCAGAATGAATCAATAACTTAAAGGAGACCTATCATGCTATATTTGAATAATATATTGTAGGGCCATACCTATATAAGGTATATTTATACGTTTTCTTTTTCAAAATACCAAACAGATCATGCATTTTAGCCATGCCTCATTTCGCTCTATTTTGCTCTCCTCCACCCTGTCTTTGCATGCGCTGCAGCTGACCACGCCCCCCTGCAAAGGAGGGGGCAGAGTTACGAGCCTTGTGTTACCATGCTGTTACCATGCCACGGCAACCTCTCATTCCCCTGATTGGTGGAGAGTTGGCCATATAGGCGGAGCTCCTCGTCACTGACGTCAGACTATTTTCAAATCTGTATCAGTCTATATCAGATCCGTTGCAGCCCCGTTTTTAGAGATTTTGGGTATGGAGGAAAAGAAAGAGGGTTGTGTTTTCTGACACTTGGTGAGTTCCCTGACACACCGGGGACACATATTCATGTATAAAAGACGTACAAAGGTGCATTTTGCATGATAGGTCCCCTTTAATGATTAATGTGTTCGTGTCCTTCATCTGAAAATCCACCCCTGGAGTGATGTTCACGACACAGTTCCCCAACAAAAATAGTCAAGAGAAGGTAATAGAAATGTGAAAGCCACTCTTAGGAAGTGAGGTTATAAAAGTGATTTAAAAGAACAGACCAGTGGCGAGCCGTCAGGGCCCTCTAGGCCCTCAGAGGGCCTAAGGTATTCTACAAAATAATGTTAATATTATTTTTTTGTTATATTTTTCATTAGTTTTACCAAAATAACTTGATTTAATTGTATTTAAAATAACATTTCCAAAGAAATAAATCCTTCTTATCTACCTATGCAGTTTCTGTTTGAATGTGAAGGGTTAAATGAAAGACGCTCCTTGAGCCGTCTCTGCGAGTTACTGTGAAGAGAGGAGCTGTTGGTGGTCCTGCTGTGAATTCACAGAGGGCCTGCTATAGTAACTGAACGAGAGAGTAATGTCAAATGACAGTACAATTGACCAATCATATCTTCCCTCTAAATGGGTGGGTTTTCCGCCTGCTGTGAAGCTTTTCTTGTTTCCATAGCAACAACAACTTCCTGTCAACAGCGTAAACTCGCCTTCAAAATAAAAGCATGCCAAATTACACTTAAAGGGGACCTATCATGCAAAAAGCACATTTGTACGTCTTTTATACATGAATATGTGTCCCCGGTGTTCCAGGGAACTCACCAAGTGTCAGAAAACACAACCCTCTCTATTTTCCTCCATACCCAAATCTCTAAAAAAGGGGCTGCAACGGATCTGATAAAAACTGATCCAGATTTGAACACTGTCCTGACGTCAGGACAGTGGCGCTACGGCTATTGGGCCAACTCCACCAATCAGGAGGAGACAGCCACGGCCATTGCCGTTCGAAAGCGCTGGAGACGCTGTAGTACATATGCCAGGCGAGTAGATGGTGCTGTTCTCACTGAATCTGCCCTTGCAGAGCAGAGCTAAAAAAAAGTGCAAATTGAGCGAAATGAGGCATGGCTAAAATGCATGATCGGTTTGGTATTTTGAAAAGAAAAAAGTATAAATATGCCTTATATAGGTATGGTCCTACACTATATTATTCAAATATAGCATGATAGGTCCACTTTAAGACATACAACTGCAACGAAAGTAACAAACACAATGCAATATCCTTTTCAATTTCAAAGAACACAAATTGGGTTATTTACAGGTGTTGTTTTGTGTGGTAGAGGGTCGCTTTCATTGATGTGTTTTGCACCCCGGGCCGTTGTTTTGATATTCCGCTGAAGTTTACGCTGTGACGTAATAACTCTTTTTTTTTTTCTTTTTTTTTTAGGGAAGGGGTGGGGGTCAGAGGCAAGCCCCCAGGAAGTGCGCCGGACTCAGATGAAAATATTCGTGCTGGCCAAACGGCGGTACTACACTTCCTTTTGGTTGCCAGGCCCGGAAACACTTTTTCCCATTGACTTACATGGGGAAAGAGTGGTCTGTAAATCGTTGGATAATTTTTTTTAAACTAAATAAACTACCCAGTATGAACACTTGTATAGCCCTTATTAGAAACATTCGTTCCTCAAGTTGTAAAAATGTGCTAATAACGTTATTCTGTGAGTTATTTCCCTCTGCATTATGAACGCGCATCTAACCCACGGGACCGCGCCGCCCGGCACGTTCATGTTACGTGTTCAGCACTACATGCGTTTATCTTTACCCATGGATGCACAATAAGAACGGACCCATATCGCCTTACTGCCAGCCCACGGAGCTGTAATAATGGATATATTGCACATGTTTGCTGTAATTCATCATTTGTAAAATATTATACTACATGGGCTGTATGATTAAATCTTGTACCGTAAATGTTGTATTAAATAAAGTTAATATTACCGACGTAGATTAACGTCCCTGTAGCTTCTTATTGCACTAAGAAGCTTATTGCACTGTATATATATATATATATATACAGTGCAATAATTCTTTCATGCTAAATGAAGCTCTGTTGCTTGGATATCACTAGATCCTGTTACAGCGTAATATAAAAGTACATAACGATTGATGTGTAAATTAGCATAATTCCTAGCTAACCGCTAGCTGCTAACTGCCGCCTCGTTAATATCAAATCTATCATAACAAACCATTACCATGCTGTCATGAACGTGCGGTACTGTTACGTGTACGTACATTGACGTGCTTGATGTGAACGAGCATTTTGGGGGTTATGGTTAAAGTTGCGCATGCGCTATGAGCGCACATACGGGTACTTCTCAGGCATGCCGGGTAATCTGTGACGTTTCGCTCTCTCAAAAGTTGCGCCATTTTATCATCATGCGCGAATGAGCAACTCTCATAGGAATGAATGAGGCCCCGCCTCCCACGCTATATCCAGTTCTTATTATACATCCATGGTCAGAGGGCCTAGGTATAAAAGTCACTGCTCGCCACTGGAACAGACAGAGCCTGGATCTCCTCCAATGAAATGCTAACTTAAGATAAAGATAAGTAAACAATTAACAGGTCAATATCTCATTCATTCTGCAGGTATTTGCTATTTCAAGGCACAGTATTGGACATATTAAAACGTTTAAAAATTCATCCTGAGGAGAAAATGTACTTTTATATTTGCACTCCGCACAGGAACACTCGCTACAGGAATTTCCCTCTACAGTTTTATCTTATCTCATGAATGTCTGTCCAACATTTCATCACAATCCCTCAACTAGCTGCTGAGATATTTCGGTCTACCAAAGAGTGTGCAGACAGTTCAGACAGCATGCCGCTAGTGTGGCTAAAAATAGTGAAAGCTGGGATTTAGGTGAACAATGACCGGAGAATAAAAGTCATGAGCGGGAATTTTGAGGCTTATATTCCATGACATGTCTTTTTCAGACCAGTGGAAATAAAACATCATAATCCACATTTAGGAGTTTATTCTAATAACTCTATTTGTGTCTGTAGAGTTCTCCTAAATATACCAAAAGTAAGCATTACATAATGCCTTATTTGCATTTTTAAACATAACATTGCAGAAACCTTCAAAAAATAATTGTCTTAAGGTAAGTAATGATTGAGGGTAGTTTCATGGTGATATAGCCTACTGTATATTAGTTATATGTTACCCTATTCATAAACAAAATAATCTGCATTTATTTCTTTTAAAGTGAACTTCTGTTCTGTTTGTTGGCATAGGGGTCATAAAAAACAGCTGGGAAACACGAGATGTTCGTGGGATTAAACAAAAAAAGCTGCAGCTGAGATCTGGATGACACTTTAGATACACACACACACACACACACATGCACACACACTCGCACACACTCACAGATAAATGTTAAATGACACTATGACTCATCTGGCTGACATTTCCACAGGATGGGTGTAATGTGGCATGAATGAAATGCGCCCCCTGGAGACGAGCAGTTAGCTGTTAGCCGTTAGCTGCTAGCCATTAGCTGTTAGCTGTTAGCCGTCGCTGTAGCTGTTAGCCGTTAGCTGTTGGCAGTTAGCAGCAGACAGCAGACAGCCCGGCTCACACGCTGCTCAGCTTACGTTCACTTCCGGTTTTTAAAGCTCCTGCACACCAAGGATCAAATTAAACGTAGCAAAGCTAACTGAGTAAAGCCAAAGGGCCGTGGGCTCTAGTAATTGACGAAATGTAGCAACTATAAAACACAGCACTAAAGAGGGTGATTATTAAACTGTACATTTTAGGAACCTCTGCAGCTGTCACTGTACAGTAACAGTCCTAAATATCTTAAAAATAAACAAAAACAAGGACCTTTTAAAAGTGCAGCTTTCATCTTGAGGTAATTAATTTTAAATATTACATGTCCCTTTGCTGAAGCTTCATGGCTCACCTAAGATCAGTTCACTTTTCTCACACTGAACGCTTGGAGTTAAACATATTTAATCTTTTCAGAAAAGTGCTGGTTACATTCCTGTAGAAATTAGAAGCTT